GTCGTAGGGGGGGGGGGGAATCCAAATTCAAACCGTCTGCCGGACCACACCACACCAGTGGCAGCAGTGCTTTGGATTCCTTCCAGGGGGTTCTTCGCCCAGGGGCAGGGGTACACAGCCGTCTCCAGGGGGAAAACTCTCGGCGGGCTGTTCCTCGTCTTGCCAGACGATGTCTTGCAGGTCAGAGAGTTTGCGAGTTCCTACAGGAGGCTTTCCAACCGCCCATTGATGTCATCAACGCTCTCGCCGACATGCGACAAAAAGCGCCGGCGACAGTTACGGTTGACGTGAGGGGTAGTGGAGTTGCGTACGCTACCCTCTGGGATGAAAGACAGACGTACAATGCCCCAGGCGAGTGGATGGGTGTGTGGCCTGGGGTACTGTACAACGGTTCGGGTGCGGCAAGAGGTATCGAGGGGGAGTATGCACTTGCCGAGCGTTCGAACGATTAATCCTCTTGTCCCATACAGCCAAGTGTCAACGAGCGAAGAGAGCCACACCAGTGAACAAAGCGATTTCCTCGAGAGGGGGAAACATACATTGCCTGCGCACGAACTCCCGTTGAGTACATGCACGTCGACCCGCACTGGGACCGCACACTGCACCACGCCCGAAATACCGTTAAGTGCCTTCGAGCGAAGCGAGTCGACCCGCACTGGGACCGCACACTGCAACACGCCCGAAATACCGTTAAGTGCCTTCGAGCGAAGCGAGTCGACCCGCACTGGGACCGCACGCTGCAACACACCCGAAATACCGTGAAGTGCCTTGGAGCGAAGCGAGTCGACCCGCACTGGGACCGCACACTGCAACACGCCCGAAATACCGTGAAGTGCCTTCGAGCGAAGCGAGTCGACCCGCACTGGGACCGCACGCTGCAACACGCCCGAAATACCGTGAAGTGTCTTGGAGCGAAGCGAGTTACGATGACACACTCGCATTAACTCCACACCCACCCATTATATCAACAACACACCAAACCAGTCTATGCATTTTGTTCGGCCTATTGTTGCGCTTTCATTGCGTTGCCTCGCTCTACCTTCGTCTCGTAGTTTTTCCTGCTATGCTTTGCTTTGCCACATGTGTGTGTGGGTGTATTTTTGTCGCTCCGACGGAGGTAAACTGGAACGAAAATGACTTGGTCGAGCCTAACCCTAGTGCTACTGTATAATCGTGGCAGAAGAAAGAACGCGAACATGTTTTCCCGTTTTCCCGTCGGCGGGCTCCCTTTCCAGTCCGCGGGCCCCCTGGTGTGTGCGCCGTTGTACTTAATTCATTTTGTGGTGGTTGTACCTAACAACGGTTTTGTGTTGGTTGCCTGGTTCGTTGACTGTCGACACAGGCCTCGTGGTGTACCGGTTCAGCGAGCCGGTCCTGGCGTTCTTGCGAAACTCGAGCCAAGAGAGCGACTTGGATCAAGAGAGCGTAAGCCGAGCCAACCAAAAGGTGTGTGTTTTATTGTACACGTTTGGCGTGTGTGCGCGCATCTGCTGCTGTGGGGTGGGTGGGTGGGTGGGGTACGGCGTAGTTAGAGCCAGCGGGAAGGGATCGTGCGATGTGCATGGCCGCGCACCAGGTGCTGTCACTGCCGGCTGTTGTGGGGAAGTGGTCGTCCAAAACTCGATCTGAAGGACCTTTTGATGGTACACGTATGGGCAAGGCTGTGATCATTGCTCTGTTGTTATTGCGTGAGTGTCTACATGAGTTTTTGATTCGGTTTGCTGCGACCCGAGCACTTGCAGTCGACGTTCTTTCCGACACACACACACGCACATCGCCGCGCACCACTCGTCATCACGCGTCTTCCGCTCTGCAGAGCTCGAGGTTCGTCGGCATGAACCAGCTGGAATACCTGGAGCCGCTCATCAAGAACCGCGTTTGGCGAGAGCAAAAGGTACGAGGATGATACATAATCGCACTGTCATGATGCGTTTCGGTCTACAGTCGACCCCACTTTGAAGACACATTTTTTTTTTTTTTGAAGGCGTCGTTACCGCGGGGAAGTGCCTTTGAGGTTCCAGGGGCACCTACATATTGTATACCTGCGGGGCACCCTGCTTCTGAGTTTTTGTTTTGTCCTTAAAGCGGGCAGTTGACTTACGACGAGTGTCGATAAGAGCGAGGACGCCCCTATCGTTCTCCCGCCGCATGATACCAAAGGCTGCCCAGATGTCGTTTTCTCTATACGGGGGCGGCGGTGTTGGTAGGGGGGTATGCGGGGGTTCTGTCCATGCGTGTGCCGTTTTTTCCGCGGGCCCGCATTGGGTGTCCTCGGAGAGACCGCATCCTGGCGTATCTGGCACTGCGCATGCCCATTACGTATAGAAGTATAATACCAACCGGGATATGATGCCTCGAGGAGTTGTTCGTTTGTGTGTGTGTGTTTATTGCGTGGACGTGTTTTTTGCCGGCCGCTGAATGGAACACGCGCGCCGTGAAATCACAGAAGAAGCAATGCAGCACGTAAGGTGAGAATCGGGGAGCAGCCAACAAGGGGGGGGGGGGCATATTCGGCAATAATCTATCCAAAGCATTTGTTCCCCCCCCCAACTACTGAAAAATCACCTGCTTTGTGGGTCGGTGGGGACAGGCTCGATTGCTTCCCAGCCCGCAGCAAATTCGGTCGGCCTTCATGCACCGCCTGGGACTACGGCCGTCCCCAAAGGTGGCGGCAACCCCCACATCGAGGTACAAAAACGTTGCTACTGCTGCAGCTGTTGTTGTTGCTGCTGCTGCTGCTGCTGCTGTGGCCGTTGTTGCTGCTGCTGCTGTTGCTACTTGTTGTTGGTTGTGGTGCTGCTACATATCTGCGTTGCGTTTTTTTTTTGGTGAAAGCTTCTTGAAAACAATTGGTCCCACCACGTGCTTGGTTGCTGCCCGTCCCCTGATTGCAAGTTCCCTTTTACCCCCCCCAAACGAAATATCCCCCCCCCTAGTTGATCCTTGTCACCCCTAGCCTGGGCCGGCAAAACCCGGCGGCATATCCC